CATGAGGGGGGGGGCGCATTTGGTCGCTGGACGGAGGAAGGAGGTCGCTTCTGGTCTGAGAAACTTTGTTTCATGAAAATTGATTTTTCCTATTTCATTTCCAGTTCCAGTGGGAGGGGAGATCGTAGCAGAGGACGAAATGGTGGAGGGATTCGTGTTTTCCAAAAATTTCCTCCAACAACTTTTTCGCTTGTAATTTTATTGGTACCTGAAGAATTGAGGAACTCACTGCGCTACTGTCAGGGGAGCCCTGCAAATGTAACTTTCTTTTCATCAAAGTGATGACAATTGTGTAGTTCAGGTGACTCGGTTAAATTATAGCGTAGTAAGGAGTAGAGGAGTAGAAGTAAGGAAGAGTAGGCCTGGAATTTTCTTCTCAACAAGCAGTGCCAGTTTTCAGTGATGCTGTGGAAAAGTGAGAAGCGTAGTGAGTAGTGAGCCACGAACTGTAAGGAAGGGTGGTCCTAAAACATTTCTTTCAAGGAACTGTACGAGTTTTTGTGACCCGGTGAAACAGAGCACAGTCAGTAGCTAACTGTAGAGTAGCAGTAGAAGTACAAGCGTAGTAGGATAGGCTAGGAACTGTAATTAAGGGTAGGACTGAAACGTTCCTTCAGAGAAAGTGCCGTAAATTAGTGATACTGTGGAGCAGGTGTAGCTAGTAGGAAACTGTAGAGCAGTAGCAGTACTTAGAAGTACAAGCGAAAAAAGTAGGGATAGTGGGCCTATGGCCCCCTTTCAGAAAGTACTGCGATTTTTGAGTAATGCTGTGGAAGAGCGCAGTAAGTAGTAAGCAAGAGATGTCAGGATATGTGGGCTCAGCATATCTACTCAAGGAACACTGTGGTTTTGGTGACCCCCTGTGAAAAGTAATGCAGTGTGTCCGCAAAAGCGTACATAGAATCTGTGCTACAGTAATTTCCTAAGCTGAAACAAATCGACATCTACAATTGGCAAAAACATCATTGTCTTGGACTTCAAATAAGCGTTACGTGACCATGATCGGCAAGCTGCAGGGTTCCTGCTGAGAAACCGGCTCAATTCGTATGACATACACTTTTTCATTAAATAGGAGATTGCAGCAAACAAGCAAACATAAGAAGACGTTTGGAACTCATTAGATTCCTTGTACCGCAGCAGTACTCTTCTAGCAGTACTGAACTGTTACTATTACCCATGAAAAACATGAAAATGAACATAAGAAAGCAAGCTGTACTCTAGGAAGAAACTACCTGATTTTTTCAATGGAAAAGTAAAGTGA